ACACATTACCAACACACATGTACACACACATGTAACTTTACAATGTGCACACATACATATACACATGTAACATACACACAAGTCTACACACATGTACACATCATGGTACATACACATGTATACATACATGTAACACACACACACACACACACACACACACCACACACACACACTCACACTCACACACACTCACATATATATATATATATATATATATATATATATATATATATATATATATATATATATATATATATATATATATATATATATATATATATATAATACACACACACGAGTGTGTGTGTGTGTGTGTGTGTGTGTGTGTGTGTGTGTGTTGTGTGTGTGGTGTGTGTGTGTGTGTGTGTGTGTGTGTGTGTGTGTGTGTGTGGTGTGTGTGTGTGTGTATCTGCTAGTTTTAGACATGTCTTTATCTCAATTTCAGTAAGCTTAAAAGGATAGGAGGCTTAAAGTTTGTGCATATCATGCTTATGGGACGGTTGTAGTTGGGGAGTGGGAAGAAGGGGAGGGAAGAGTTTTTTATGTTTGGGATCTGTGATATGTTTGTGTAATTTTGTGGAAGGTGTCTGTTTTGTCTGCGTGTACAATGTGTTTTGGGGATCTGTTCCATTCGCAAATGGTGTATGGAAACTATGAGTGTTCGAAGGAGTCTGTACTAGTGTGATATGTCATATATTTCTGTTTAAGGTTTGTCTGTGCATATCACTGTCATACTGTATATATTTTCCTTTTAATACATTGTTTTCTCTTTTTTTCACTCCCAACAATGGTAATTTTTTTTTTATTTAGTTTCAGAATCTCCTAAGTATAAACCAGCAAGACAATATATGTGTGAGTTACAGCGATGAGGAAGGAGACAAGGTACGTGCTTTTTTATGATATTTGATCACCAGTGAATTGATTGCCAGTGATCTTGGCTGATATACCTTGTTTCCTTGTTGAAAGAGGGTGAAAATGCAATGAAGGGTTTTGTTTTTAGATAAATTTATCTAATTTCGTTGTTTGTCTTTGGTGTGTCTTTCAGCTTCCAATTGAATCAGACGAGGAGTACAGGGAGGCTCTGAAGGTAAGACGAGGCTACGGGATGTTCTGTTGTCTCTAGTTGTAAGTGATCAATAATTTGAAAGTAATTGCCTTTTTTTCTTTTGTTTCTGCTTGTGCTTCCACCTCCACCACCTCCTCTGCATTCTCCTTCACCTCTACTCTTTCTCCTCCTCCTCTTCCTCCTTCCTCCTCTTTCCTCCTCCTCTTCCTCCTTCCTCCTCTCTCCTTCTCCTCTTCTTCCTCTCCCTTTCTCCTCCTCCTCCTCTCCCTTCTCCTAGCCTCGCTTTCCCTGTGTTTCTCTTCTTCTCCAATTTTCTCCTCCTTCTCCCTCCCTCTGCTTCTCTTCCCCTTTTCCTCCTCCCTCTCCTTCTCTCTCCCCATCTCTCCTCTTCCTCTCTCCTCTTCCTCTCCTCCTCCCTCCTCTCCTCCTCCTCCCTCTCCTCCTCCTCTCCTCCTCCTCCTCCTCTCCTCTCCTCCTCTCTCTCCTCCTCCTCCTCCTCCTCCCTCTCCTCCTCCCTCCTCTCTCTCCTCTCCTCCTCCTCCTCTCCTCCTCCTCCTCTCCTCTCCTCCTCCTCCTCCTCTCTCTCTCCTCCTCCTCCTCTCTCCTCCTCCTCCTCTCCTCCTCCTCTCCTCCTGCTCCTCCCTCTCCTCCTCCTCCTCCTCTCTCCTCCTCTCCTCCTCCTCCTCTGCTCCTCCTCTCCTCTCCTGCTCCTTCCTCTCCTCCTCCTGCTCCTTCCTCCTCCTCCTCTCCTTCCTCTCCTCCTCCTGCTCTTCCTCTCCTCCTCTCCTCCTCTCCTCCTCCTGCTCCTTCCTCTCCTCCTCCTGCTCCTTCCTCTCCTCCTCCTGCTCCTTCCTCTCCTCCTCCTCCTCCCTCTCCTCCTCCTCCTCCTCCTCCTCCTCCTCCTCCTCTCCTCCTCCTCCTCCTCCTCTCTCCTCCTCCTCTCCTCTCCTCTCCTCCTCCTCTCCTCTTCTTCTTCTTCTTCTTCTTCCCTTCCCCCTCCTTTTTTCTTTTCCTCATTCTCCCACTCCTTCACCCATTCCTTTTCCTCATTCTCCCACTTCTCCTACTCTCCTCTCCCTCCACCTCTCCTATCTTTTCCCCCATCTCTCCCTGTTCTCTATTTAAATCAGCCCACTTGACCCCTGTGTCTTCCCCTCCTTCCCCAGGTAGCAAAGAAGAAAGCCGAGATGCACGACAAGATGGTGCTGGACATCACGCGCCAGGGAGGCCTCCCCACGGTCCTGTCCTTCGTCTCCTCAGGGATCAAGAAGGTGGGATCGTCTCCCCCCAAGGAGAGGGGAATGTCCTTCTTCAAGGCCTCGTCTCCCCCCAAGGAGTCTGGGGGATTCATGGCCAAGGACTGGAAGCCGTTCCCTCCTTTCTTCATGCCAGATAAAGGTAGCTAAGGGTTCTAGACCGTTGCGATCTAGTCGGGATGGATTCGTGTAAATGGGTTTCTGAGATGAATCTGGAGTATTGTAGCTGTTAGTCTTGTTGGTATTATTTTTATTATTGATATTATTATTATTATTATTGTTTTTCTTATTATTGTTATCATGATTGTTATTTTCATTGTTATTTGATGATTCCGTTCTTCCTATTATTATGATTTTTATATTATTATTATTATTATCATTATTATTATTATTGTTGTGTTTATTTTTACTATAATTATTACTATTGCTATTAGCATTATTATAATTACCATAATTATTATAGTTTTGATGAGGATGAGAATGATTGTTTCTATTATAATTATTATAGTTCTAATGATAATGATGGTAATGAAGATAAGTTATTATATTATATTATCATTATTAATTATTATTATTATTATAATGTTATTTTATTTATTATTATTATTATTATTATTATTATTTTTATTATTATTATTATTATTATTATTATTATTATTATTATATTATTATTATTATTATTATTATTATTATTATATTATTATTATTATTATTATTTTATTTATTGTTATTGTTATTATTGCTATTATTATTATTGTTATTATTGTTGTTGTTGTTATCATCATTATTATTGCTGTTATTACAGTTATTATTGATATTATTATTATTATTATTATTATTATTATTATTATTATTATTATTATTATTATTATTATTATTGATCTTGTTTTTATTGATATTGATATTATTATTAATACCGTAACCATTATATTTGCCGTTTAGCTTTATGTATTTTTACACTTGTAATGTGCTTTATTTCTTATCAGTATTTAAAACATACAATTATTTTTATTAATGTTTATGTCATTTGTTATCCTTGATTTTAGCATGTGATTCCTACTCCACTAATTCCTCCTTTGGAAGTGGCATTGCGAGAGTTTGAAAGTTAATCCACTGGCCATGGATTTATGTACTGTCTGCTGTAGGTTTAGTGGCTTTTGTTGGCCCGATGGTTCCACAAGTACTCAGCCGCCAGGGAGCCAATTAGTAGGCCCTTGTGACCTTGCCTCAGTTCACGATTCCTTGACTTTGCTTTTTCTTTCTTTTTCCCTAATGCTGTTGATATTGATGCTGATATTATCATTACTGACATACTGCTAATATTAAATGTTATTAAAAAATGCAAAAGATTCACTTTAAAAGAATCAAGGAAATGGGTAAATAGTTGATAGGTGAGACTAACTTTTTGGTGACATCACTTGTGGAACCATCTCTGTGTAACACTATTATTATGTAAAAAATGGAGTGGATATAGCGTAGAGTCTTGTCGTGTGCAGCTAGTGGGTTTAGAAATGAGAAGTTAGTCAATTAAGTGGTAATTTCTTAGTCATGGATCACAGTGGGTAGACACACTATAGTTGAAAATATAAGAATTGGGCCTTACATATATATAAGGTTTGCCCGTTTGCAAGCATTTACACACCTTGCCTCACTAATATACAAAACAGATGAACACCATGATGGGCGTGTTTATTCATCTCCAGATATACTCATGAGGCAAATTAACACACCACTCTCGATATTCATCTGTTTTGTACATCCTTAAAGTGAAGCGTGTAGACATGCGCATATAGGGTCAAACTGGTCTTGGTTTATGCAGACTTGGGAGCTGTACATTTAGGTGTGCAGACAGACCTTCAATCAAGGTTGCATAGAGTCATAGATTACTTGTACATCTTTTTCTCATTCCTTTGGCCCTAGAGTTTAAACTAAAGCTATAATCAGTGCTATAGATATATGATGCGTATTGCCAAAGGAGCACAGCACCTGTTAATGTCTGTAATTAGTTGTTTTAGTTTGGTCTCAATAAATGCTGAATTTGTCCGTGATATCTCTTGTTTCTTCTGTTATTTTTTACTGTAGATATTGTATGAAGTTATTACTCAGTACAACTATTTACACAGTTTATTTATGATGGACACATCTTGTTCAGTTCAGATATATTACCTGATTCTTCATGATAATGTGTAAAATGCACAATATATCAGGCTAGTTAGCTAGAACATAGAACTGAGTTCAAGGTCAGCCTTGTCTAAATTCAAATCCTCCAACTATATATTTGATCATCTAATAGTTATGGTAGTGGAGTAAGGAGATATATTACAAAATCAGATATGTTCAGGGTGCTTTCAGGAGTTGCTGTAGTATTTCAGCTTAATTTTACTACTATTTGAGTTTGATTGCATGTTGTTCTGTGCATGAAACTGCAAGCGCCTTTTAGTTTCCCCAATATAAGAATATAATAGCTGATTCACAAGAAAATCACTGAGGCATTAATACAATTTATTTTTTTCTTATTGGTAGATTATTTCATATCATTGCTGTTTAGTGGGAATCATAATTTGCAGATCAAGTGGTCATGTTTGTATAGTTACCATGTCCAGGTTGGGAACATAAAGCTTGCTTAGTTCCTTTTATGTTCGATTTTTGCTAAAGGTGATTGGATATATTTCAGAAAAAAGGTCATCATTGGATGTCCTTCTTATTTGTGATATGCACCAAAAGAGAAAATGCTAGAAAATGCAAGCAAAGATTGGTAGAGTTCAAATAAATTTCATTTACTTTTTTTGTGATGCTTGTGTGTGTAATTTCCAGTTATGCAAACATCATAATATTCTTATCCAAAAGTTCACCCCATTTACATGAAATTGTGCTTGCATCTTGAGTAAGCAAAGTTTGTAGGAATTTTTCAGAAGAATTTCAATATTACTTTGGCTGTCAGAGTGGGCTTTTATTAATTACAGGCTTGTAGATGAACGGAAACAGGAATGATATGATGTAATTAACAAAAAGCAAAATTTCCTGGGATTTGATTCTCCGTTTTTGTGTTTGGACACCCCAAAACTTTTCGAAAGTCCCAGCTCTCCTTTGTTTGGCATTCAGTGAAGCAAAGCTAATTATGATCAGTATCTGTGCCCGTAGGTCCAATCCCAGGTCATGTCCAGGGTATGTGGGGTTATGACTGTGATGAGGCCTTGGAGTGTGATAAGCCTCATCACACCACCACAACAGCCACTACCACAACCACAACAACCACTACCACGGCCATGTCCGCACCCCGCACTGACTGCAAGAAGGGCCCGCCAGTCCGATCTCTCCGCAACTCTCCTCCCAATTTGCTATTCAAGTTTGAGGCACCCTCTCCTAACATTAAGAGTGAGCCCCCACACTCCGCCACCACCAGTCAGGCTGTCTTTGGTGCAGGTACTGGTGGATCTGCTGGTGGTGGAGCAAGGTCCAAAGTGCCACAGGAGGCGACACAGCGGCCCGAACAGCCACCTGCTTGGTTCACCACCTACATGGAGAAGGTGAGTGTCCTTTTCTTTCTTTCTTTCTTTCTTTCTTTCTTTCTTTCTTTCTTTCTTTCTTTCTTTCTTTCCTTCTTTCTTTCTTTTTCCTTCTTCTTCCTTCTTTCCTTCTTCTTTGAGAGTGGAATGAAAGGAGACAAATGTAGTAGATATAATCACTTAGTTTAATACTGATCAACCCAGTGCCTCCAGTACATTTAAAATGCTGAAAAGTCTAAGCTCCAAAGCTGCATGTACATGTGACATTGTATGTCACCTGCAGGCAAAAGACACATGTTATCATTCCATATAAAGGTGCGGTTCAACTGGCCTCGTATACACGCAGGTTTGGCCGTAAATGCGGCTATCTGGGGCAAATCATGTCACTTTGGTGCGAAATCTGGGGGCAGAGGGGAGCCAGCGATTACCTGACTTAGAGTGCTCTTTCCTTCATGTGTCTTCCAGCTTTCCAGGGTGCAATTAAAGATTATTGTTTGGAATTCACTTTAAAGAAATTATTTGAGATTTTGTATAAAACACTCACTTTGATGGCCCGCCAGACTAGCATTAATAATTTTGAATCAGTAAATTAGATTCTGTTCCTTCTTTAACAAATATACGCCATGAAACACAAAACTACAATGAAAACGGAAACAAACCCTTGTGCTCTATGTTGCTCAAACGAGAAGTAATATGCATGGTGTTATTCAAGCAAGAGCCATGTGTGGTCTTTTATGGTAGGGTTTTTTGCGGTTGAAACTATATTTGATTAGGCACTTGGACACAAGTCAGGTCCTAGACGAAGACATGCCAGTTGAACCACACCTTAATTCTCAACAAAGTCCAGGTATGAAGCTTTATTAAAAACATTAATGAAACAGTGTGACCTTCATGTCAGCTTCTGGCCTAAATTCCCACAGGAGCAGTGGTTCCAAAGCTTCATAGTATATTCTTTACCTCTAAACTGTGCTAGACATCTTAAGATGATATGAGAGTGACTGCACCAGACATATTAAGACAACAGCTGCTCTGAGTTGCATTTCAAACTTTTCTGCCATCCCTCTCTTGCTCACATCATCCCAATTATCATTTGAGCTCCCCCTGTTCCAGCTGCATCCACCTCCAGTATACATGATGCAGTACAGACAAACACACACACACACATCACACACTCTCTCACTTTCTCTCACACTCTCTCACTCTCTCTCTCTCTCTCTCTCTCTCTCTCTCTCTCTCTCTCTCTCTCTCTCTCTCTCTCTCTCTCTCTCTCTCTCTTCTCTCTCTCTCTCTCTCTCTCCTCTCTCTCATTCTCTCTCTTCTCTCTCTCTCTCTCTACTCTCTCTCTTTCAGGGGGTCTGCATGAAAGTATGGAGCCACCAGGGTGCATAGTCTGCAAGATAAAGTGGTAAACTGTGATCCGTCTGACATAATAATGGCAATACATATATGTCCCAGACAAGATGGCAACTCTTACCATGGCGTGACATACATGCCATCCAGAGCAGGAGGGTTAAGATGTCCAGATTGTGACATCATTGCTGTATGTGGATGAAGAATCACTAGAATTATTGGAATGTTTATCTTCACAAGATACCTCCATTATTCATATGAAATATGTTTTATAGGTAATGAGGGATTAGTATTAGTATATCTGGTCATTTAATATACAATCCAACAACGCACAAGGAACCAGTTGATCAGTTGTTTTACTTGTTCCTTGATAATCATTTGTCATAGCTGAATGAGTGTCTTCAAGATTTGGACATTCTGTATTGATAAGGCATAAATTCAGAGTCACTTTCTGTTCTAGTTCCGCAAAGAGATCTCTGAGGAAGTGAGTGAGTGCGTGATGGAGAAGGTCTCGGGCATGATCAAGGAGATGAAGTTTCCCTCAACACCGCGGAAGTCGAACATCAGAGTCAGTTCAAGTAGTCATAGCTGAATTGTGATTTTTCTGTATTGATAAGGTAGAGTCAAGTAAAGATCTCTGACTGATGTCCATGGTTGAGATGAAGTTCAGGTTGCAAGTTGTAGGAGATGAGTAGATGACAATATTTATTATATGCTTGTGAAATGATTTTTCTCTTGTCTCTGCCATCATTGAAGCTACAAAAGAAGCTGCCAAGAAGCAGAAGCCCAAAAAGGCATGCCAGCGGCACGAGGATGGACGGCGAAGAGAAACGAAGAGATCAAAGGCAAGAAGAAAAAGGTGAAGGCTGGAGAAAATGACGTGGGTGCAAAGCGCAAGAAGTTGGCCAAAGAAGAAGAGAGGCTCATGAAGAAGCAGGAGAAAATGGAAAAGAAGAAACTGATGTGCAAGTAAGTTGTTCTGAGATTTGTGAACAGTTCTGGTCCTCTAATGGGTGGCTCAGCCTTCAAGTGTTGAGTGGAAACAGTAGTTCCTTGAGCATGGGAGGATACTTTGCAGTTAGTCATAATAGGTGTAGAAATAGACTGCCAAGTTCCTATAAGATAAGAACAAAAAGGTAAGTTGGATATTGTGGAATTGCTAAAAATAAGAAGTGGATTTCTCTTGCTCTCTTTACTGTTTTCTCCAACTTAAATGGATTTCTAAGCTCTCTTGGAACTTAAGTCCATGTGTGACTGAAGCTTTATATTATGATGATTGTATCATATGGATGTAAGAGTTACATATACATAAACACCGTCTCTCCTGATAAACATGGAAAGAAAGAGAACTGGGAAGAGACCAGCATATAGTTTAATGTTGGCAACTCACCATTTCGCAATATTTTAATAATTATTATATGCTTCTCCTATGATAATTATAAAGCTGGTCATTATATACTCTTGATTTTTAGTGTTGGATGCTTTCATTTCATTGCTCCAGAAAATACTTGTTTGTTAGGCATAAGTATAGACAGTGATATTGTGTTTGAGAATTAAATTTTCATAATACTTGTACTTCCAGGTGAGTCCTACAGGTTTTGATTATTCTTAGAGTGATTAGCAACAACAATAGATAAAAGCATCGTTTGTATTTTGCCTCAGTGTGCTTCTCTATGGCAAGAGTAAGAATACAAAAGTTATTCTCCTTCTTCCAAGCATGGAAGCATGAAGATTTAACCTTCTATTCATTTATTTGATTTTTTTTTTTTTTTTCAAGAATAATATTCAAATTGTTTTAAGAAATAGTTCTGCTGCAGTTAGTTTTAACATTCTTTGCCACTTCTTGTTTTCTTAAGACTATTCCATTCTGCCTGATTTCAGAGATGAAAAACATTTTACTCTTTCAAAAACTATTGAGAAATGTGAGGTGTGCTTGAATGCTATTTTGTATTGGAAGCAAGAAAGTCTACTGCACCTGATTCTAGTGCCTGCATAGTATGATTTTTATTATTATATTTATTTATTATTATTGTTTTTTATGAGGAGGAGGAAGAAGGAAGTGGGAGAAAAAATAGGTAGGTAGATGTTCTTAGTCTGTTCTGTTAGTTTAGGAGAATTGTTAGAGATTTTAAGAATGTTTTAATAACCATTAGCAGATATGTTGATGAGATGGACAAAGCCAGTCGCACTCAGGAGAAGGTTTTGGCAAAAATGGAAGGCCTGCGCAAGAAACAGTCCTGCTCCCCAGAGGAACTCAACAAGCTCAGAAAAATGGTCGACAAGCAGCACAGGGTTATCACAGCTGAGCAGCGACAGCAACGCAGAAATGACCGAAAAGCAGGAAACCAGAAGGCAGGCAAATCAAAGAAATTCAATATCGACAACAAGGTAAGCCAAGCACCATCTCAGGAGTTCCACCAGTTCAAAAATGTTTGCTCAGAAACTAAAGAAAGGAAAGAGCATGATCTAAATAAGGAATAATTAAATTTGTTTTCTCTTAGGGATTCCCTGTAGATGCATCACTGTTGCATGCTGCCCTACAGGAGCTGGAAGCCTTGGCCGAAGACTCGCCCAATGAGGGCACAGCTGGCATCAGCACAAGGGGTTATGATGCCCTCTACCTCCACGATGTAACCTATCCTGATGGCTCCGAGGTGGCTCCAGGGACAGAATTTGTGAAGACATGGAGGGTCGCTAATACTGGTGTGGAGCCTTGGAATGAGAAGGTGAGGTTCCATTACTCCTTTTGTAGATAATGGAAATTATAACAAGAAAGATGGCCACCTTTGTCTTGTTCTTTTTGGTGTGTAAAGAGTGGATGAAGCTAAAAGTTAATAATCACTGGATTATATAGGTCTGTTTTACTACATATTAACTGTTATGCAGTTTTTAGCTCTCTCATATTTCTTAATTTACCTCTATTTTCTTTCTCTTTTGTCTCATTTGTCACCTATTTACCTATAATCCTGCCGCCGCTGGTGACTGCTATTGATGTCATAACTAAAGGATTTCTGCGTGATGCAGGGCAGAATCATAAATATCATTGTGGTATGTCTAAAAGTCTTAGCATTAAGGGGTTCAGAATATTCTAGTAATTATTCATGCTTAATGTTCCATATCAAGACAACCCTGTGCAAGTGGAGCCAGGTGCGATTCCGGGGTTCTCCTGCTGGCTGGAAACTGAAGCCGTCCTCAAAGAAGGTGGTGTGTCCTCCCTTGGAACCTGGCCAGGAAGGAGACATATCCATCACCTTCACAGCACCAAGTAAGTGTTTTCTTTTTGATATTTTGTATTTGGTGAGTGGTTTTAGGGTTGAGTGGATTGGAGTATGTGGTTTCAAGTTATAGATGTTATTATATTTTGAAAATGAGTCATAGTTGTTTTGGATGTGTAGATCTTTGTGTCCAAGCAGTATCTTAAGGGTAGAATGTAAATGACATAGAGTTGTAAATATCCAATTGAATTTGTTTGATTGTTCTCCGTATGCTGATTTAAATCTACTATTTAAGAACATTCTTTTTATACTAACAAAATTTACTTGCAACAATAGGTGAGCCAGGTTGGTATGCCACTCATTGGAGGTTCTGTCAGCGAGGTCGTGTGTTTGGGAACCAGATGTGGTGCGCTATTTACGTGGCGGATAGAAATGTGCGTGAGAAGCTGGAGCCAGTTCAGGGTGAAGATGTTGCAGTAAGTGCAATCAGGTTCTGATGTTGGTTAGATTTTTTCCTCTCTTCCATTTTTATACGTTATCACCATCATCACTGAGCGAGCAAGAGTGACTGGGTGCTCACTTGGTCTTATTTACAAGTTTTATTCTGAATAGGGGTAGTTTTACTAGCCTCTCACAGTCCCTTAATTTCAATCCTCGATCATGCCCTATTATAAAGATAAGATCTATGTATGTCAATGACAGTATGTATGGGTAACAGTAATAACAAAATATATAACCAAGGTATGATTATGATAATCATAAGAAATATATACTTCAGTTCTCTATAGATATTAATATTATTACTTACTACAGTGCCCATGACATAGAACGTGCCCCATGACTTGTCTATTTGTTTGTTAAGTAGGACCTGGGAATACTTGTTTTTCAGTCCCTATGACCATCATCATCATCATCATTATTGCTGTTATTACTATTATTGTCATTGCAAATTTATTATTATCAGCATTATCAATCATCATTGGTAATGTTATTAAATTTATTTTAATATTATTGTACTCTGCAGAAGGATATAGATATTGCTCCATATGATACCTTTCATGTATGCTTTGTTGCTTTGGAAATGTGACTCAGGAAATGACTTCAATTATGTGCAAAAACACACTCTCTCTCCCTGCCAGTCTGCTGTGAGGCTCATGCTTTCGGTATCTCCAAAACAATGTCTGTCGAAGGGCAGTGCTGTGAGTGAGGAGACTGTCTGTGATAAGGAGGAAGAAGAGGAGGAGGAGGAGGAAGAGGAAGAAGAGGAGGAAGAAGGGGCCAAGGCACTAAGGAGTAGCCAGATCAAGGGCGACCTCGAGGGTGGCATTGTAGAGAACTACTATGATGCGGAGGATCCCTTTGAGAAGGAGCTGAGAAAGGTAGAGCTTGCCTGAGGTCTTACTTTTCATTGTGGCTTTGTTGTTGCTCATTCCTGTAGCTTGCAGGTTGTATTCTCTCTCTCTCTCTCTCTCTCTCTCTCTCTCTCTCTCTCTCTCTCTCTCTCTCTCTCTCTCTCTCTCTCTCTCTCTCTCTCTCTCTCTCTCTCTCTCTCTCTCTCTCTCTCTCTCTCTCACTCCTCTCTCTCCCCCCCACCTCCCCTTCCTTTCTTTCTGCCCTCCTTCCTCTGTCCCTCTTTTTCTTTTCTTTGTATTCTCAATTTCTTTCATAATGATAATGTATCTTAAAACTTCTTATAATTATGTGTACAGGAATGTCAGAAAGATGCTACTATTTTTCAGAATCTAAAGAGCTTGAGCCTTTGCACCAGTGTGAAAACTGAAGGTACTGAAGTACGACGGACAGAGCGGGATCTCATCTCCTTTGAGGAAGAGGCAGAAGTGGTCTCATCAGGAACCACGACTCCAGAGATGATCCAGGATATTCCTCAGACACATGCTGTGGTTAGTAACTTTTGCCCATGTTAAAGAAAAGGGTCTTCTATTTTTGTGCAGTGAATGGAAATGCAAAAGCAGAAGGTCCCATTTTGTTCTTGAACCGTTCTGATAACTTTATAGCCATGATTATTGATTATTGATTAGGTTCTCATGTGTCTTCATTTTTCCTTATTCACAAAATGGCTTTTGCATTGAAGGTGCCGCTGAAGGAAATGGCCAAAGAATCTGTGGAGTCTCTGAGGGAGTCGATGGTCGGAAAAGAGCAAGAATCAGGAAAGAAGGAATCTTGCAGACCCAAAGTCTTTCAGGCTGACACTCTGAGCATCTCTAGTGGGTCCTTCTCTGAATTAGATTCTGAGGATCAAGCCATATTGAATGAGTCAGACACAGAATACTCGGACAATGAATATTGTCTTGTAAATCTACCCGAGTGCTTCAATGTTCCCTCACCATACAATGGTAAGTGGTTTGAGTAAGATTTGAAGTAGGTTCTTTGTTTCTTGCTGGTGCACTGTTTGTAAAGATCTTATTTTCTATGGCTTTTGGTATGTAAATGATAATTGTTCCATTTTTTGCAGGTCTTGCTGAATCAGTTGTGCAAGATATGCATGAGGTAGACCGACCAGACTCGCCAGATTTCCTAACAGCTGATGAGGATGACCGAACAACTGCCGTAGCCTCTGACTTGCAGGATGACCAGGCTGAATCAGTGGAAGGGTCTGGGGGATCGTCAAATAATTCCACTACTTCTCAGGGAAGCCATTTGTCCACTGTAGTTGAGGTATCTCAAGAAAAGGCCCAGACTCCACCACAGGCAGAATCAGGGAAGAAAATGCCGATGCCAGATCCACCAACAGACACAAAACCCTTCATGGAAGTCCCTGCTGAAGCCTTGAGAGCTAATCTTGCTTACGCAGTTCAGCAGTCATCAGGGAACAGAAGCAGTGAAGAAGGTGAAGAATCCAAGTCCAAAGACGACACTACCTGGTCACTGAGTGCACAGGCTGCCCATAGTGTTGTATGTGAACAGCCATCTTCCACCCAGGTAAGTCACCTGCATGAATCCTGTTTGGTCAGTGTATTAAGTAGGGCAAGGTTAGTTGAGGAAAGGAGCAGAGATCAATATTGAGCAAAACTTAGTAGCTACAGTAAGTAAGAACAAAATTGGTCACTTTATCTCGGCACCAACTTCTCATTCAGCATAAGGATCACAGGCCACTCTCAAGATGTATAGATGGCAAAGCAGCTGCCATTGCTGCTGGAGGGACAGACTTGCCTTTGGATCTTGTTGGTGCACTGCCAGATGAATTGGTCAGCATCATCCCGGAGGATTTGGTGCGTGGGGCATGGAACACTGCCCGCTCCTTCATCACACGAATCAACCAGGTTAGCTGAATGCTGTTGCTTACTGGATTGGTTATTTCAGAGGACTGGTGAAACAGGAAGTTTAGGCAAGACATTGCAATGTGAGGTTGTCAGGCAAGCTGAAGAGTGTAGGTAATGTGTATGGTTTAAGGTGATGATAAAGGTATTGCATTTATTACAGAAGAGTGAAACATCTTTTCTTCTATTCAGATTATCATCCAAAATGCTGTTTTCCATATAGAAAATAAACAGCCAACATTTCTTCCACAGGAAATGCTATCGCCGACTGGAACCGATTCTCCTGATCAAATCTATGCTTCCGAAGAGAGCTCAGCCCCCAAGTCAGAGCCAAAGGAAACAACTCAGAAAGAGGAACCCGTTCAGAAAGAGGAATCTCCCTCTAAGGTAAGAGAGGAGGAGAACAACTAGCTCTTTTTTTTTCTCTCTCTGTGTAGCTCAATTTACATTGCTACATATTAACAGGGTAATCTTTGAATGAGGTGGAGAACATGCCTTTCCATTAGGGGGCTTTAGGCTAGAGCTTAGATGGAGATGGTTGATGTTGATTGAATTGTTTGTTGACACTGTGAAGTGCATTATTTGAAATTCAGTTTCATTATCTACCTTGTCATTAAACAAAGTTAGCCTTCTGTTACATTATGAGTGCATAATGGTTATCCACTTTTGTAAAATCCTCAGTTATTTTCATATTTTGATTTCCTTAGGAAGTCCTTTTGCGGTGTGGCTGTCATTTTCAAAGCGTTATATTCATTTCACATTTTCAGGCCAATTAGAGGTGCTGGAAGCTTCTGTATTAAGGCATGTAAAGCTAATGCAATCTTATTATTTGCTCTAAAGATAGTCAAGATGTGCATGATCCTAGTGTTATTTCTCCCTGAGAAACCTGTTATGTTTTGAATGATGTAGATTTGATGTCACAGGAAAGTAGTTAATAAGAACTACCAGTTTCAGGGAATAGTTCACATGGAAATGAACTGACCCTTTCTCCACTGATGTGGCAAAACACCAGAACTGTTCTAGATGTGATGTCGAGAACAGCTCTTAGTTTTACGTTTCAAGTGCATTTCACCATTGTTTACCCCAGGAATTTTTTGACTGCAGACTGTGCATGTACCTCTGATTTTCCTTTGGATCAAAAAAAGAGAAAGTTTTAGTATAATTTATGAATGTGTATAGTGGGCAGGAGAAATATACACTGGCGTTAGCACTGCACATCAATTGCAACTTAAATTTTCCTCAAATTATGAATTATTAAATTGTAAAGGTATCCTTAGGACAGTTTCTTCATCCAATGTGCTTATAAGGAATTTTGACAAAAATATTGCATTCAGGAAGCTCTGATGCATTTTTTTACTGATATTATTTATAATTAGCATAAAAGTTCAGTTCGTGATTGATATGGATATACGGGGGTGATTTAGTGTTTTCCAAACTCCTTTTCTAAAACATTTAAGGGTAGTTTAGATATCTTCAAGAGATTATGGCACAATTTTGATCCAAAACATTTTCTTTCTCTCTTTCTTTTTCTGTTTTTGTTATTCAGTGTTGAGCAAGTTGAACAAGTTGACCACTAATTTCAGCATTGTATTTTTTGTTTTTTGCATATTTCTGAAAATGTATTTTATTCATTTTTTTTTTTTTATAATGTTATTTTCAACCAAAGTGACTATGCCTCTATTTTACCCCCAGAGACGGACTTCCCCCTTGCCGCCCCCTATGCAGCAGCTGGAAGACATGGGCTTTGGCAACAGAGAAGTGAATCAACGCCTTCTCACAAAGTACAATAATGATGTCTCGTGCGCTGTGGCTGAACTCATAGTTCTCAATTGTCAGTAAACAAAAAATATATAGATAATTTCATCATCGCTTGTTACCTACTGGCTGTCACTCAGATAGATGGATTGTACGTTCATAATTTGTCCTGACTTTGAAGAAAGATGATGTAGTGTTAATTGTGATAGGAATTAAAGAAGTTTAATGTTTAGTCAACAAAAGATTTATACGTTTAGTTATTATGATTGTCGTATTAAATGATAGGCGCGCAGGAATGCTTTCTCAGAAGATTGGAGTTTACACATAATATGGTGGGACCATGCTTGTGTATTTGTGTTTTATGTTACTTATGTGTTAAGTATTTAAAGGGAAATACGTAGAGGGGGGAATGCCAAGAACATTTTATTCTTAAATAAAATGATAATTCGTCCAGCACTTTCTTTTACGTCGTTGGAGTTGCTTTATTGAATAATTCTGAGCTTCTGAAAAAAAATTCAATTGATACTCTTTGCAGTTGCTTTTACGTTAATCCATTATTATTAGTCTTACTAAACACTTGAAATTTTTCACGTCTGCATAAGAGACTCCAGCACAAGGTTTAGTGTTAAAATTTTGTAGCTTTTGAAGCACAACGTAGAGTAATAGGCTGTATGGGAATCATTAATTTGATTGTTAGTATTGATATCATTATTATTACTGCTATTATCATTATTATTATTATTATTATTATTATTATTATTATTATTATTATTATTATCATCATCATCATCGCCATTATTATTTATTACTATTGCCCATATTAATACTATTGCTATTAGTATTATGGATTTTATTATTATTATTCCTATTATTGCTGCTGTTATCATTGTTTTTATTATAATTGATATTATCATTAATAATATTGTTATTTCTTATGGCTATTTTGACCTTTATTATTATTATTGTAATTGTAATTGATTGCTGTTATCATTTTTTATTTTATTTCTATTTTTAACATCATTTATTATTGTTGCTGTGATTCTCATTCTTATTCAGTCATTAAGTGAAGTTGTTATTGACATTAATACTATAATGTATATTGGTTATTATGGTGAATTTCATGGAACATTATTGAAATTTAACTTTATGGGCAATGATGAATTTTTGCTGGTTCAGTTAGCATGATGAAGTCCCATTACTTATATTCATGTCATTTTGGAACAATTACTATTGGAAGAAAATAATTTCATCACAAGGATAATTACATTGTTTCTCTGCAGAAATAGAGGGGTGATTTGTGCTGTGATTGCTAATGGTAGCTTTCATTCCAATTTTATTACACAAACTAGCTTTTTTGTGATCTTTTTGTATTCCTTTTTTATAGAGTTTGCCGAGGTGGTCTCAGTTCACCTGCAGTGGCAGCATTTTTCTTCTTTTTAGTTTTGGTAGAATGGCTTTATTCTCTTAGGATAGTTTTTTAATGTCTTTTTTTTTTGATAAGCAGTGTTAGTGTTGCTTAATGTTGTTATCTTCCTCTGCAGATTTTTTTTTTCTCTCTCTCTCTCTCTCTTTTTTCACTTTTCCTTTTTATATTTATCCTTTACTGTGGCTGCCTCCTTCCTCTTTTAGCTCCATCTCAGTTACAGATTTAAATTATTTAACTACGAACTCACATTAGAGATATCTTTAGCTTTAACGCATATCACTGGAAACCAATAAGGAATGATTTTTATTTATTTTGAATATGTATGCTTTGTAAAATTACCAGTGTAACCTTGTAATCTATCCGCATTTTATAACAATGTCTGTAGCTAAAGAAGTCTTGTCCGTCTTATTCTGTTTACTGAACTGAAAAAGATATAAAAAAATAAACTGCTTAGATCATTTGCAGTGTTTCTAGGTATTACTATTAGTTTTTTTTTTTTAGCTCTTCAGTCTTACTTCTTACCAGATATTGTGTTGTATGATTCACCGGTGAGAGTGTGGTAAGTATGAATAATAGATTAGTATAATGTGAGACACCTGATTGGTGCCGTAGCAATTATATTATTATGGAACATTATGTCCATGTTTGTATGTGTGTATGTGTACTTTTCAAGGTTCACATACACATAATTGCAGACATATATCCATACTATACATATATATATACACATATATACTATATAATAAAGTATGATGCCATACATGTATGTTTTACTTCTGTTCCAAAACTTGTGATTGTACAAAGGTTTTGAAAAATTTTAGTTATTAGATAATGATGGTAATGTTTATTTTATTGTCCCTTGGTTAAGTGAAGAAATTACAAATGGAAAAGGAAATAACAGTGCAGTATCCACTGTAAGAAAGTTATTTTTTTTTGGTAATCATTTTACCTATAACAAAGGGTACATAGTGAGTTGTGGGCAAAAAGACATTTTATTTATTAAAAAAAAAAAAATCTGCAATGTCAACATCTACGGTCATCAGCGGTGTATACAAAATATAGCCATAGGGCGAGGCTTGGGGCAGCACAGGTAAGAAAAGGTCATACAGAATTATGATAAAGTATTGTGAAAAAAGGTTACAAATGGGTTCACAATTAGAACCGAATATGTTACATGTCAAAGCTTGTAGAGCACTTTAGGTTAGCATGGTAGTGAAAAAGGTAAAGAAGGAAGAGCAAACGGAGGACGAAGGCCGTTCAGGACTGACACCAAGCCAGCCAATCATCCTTTCACACTAAGGATTTAGACAGAAAGGGATGAAGAGAAGGCAAGGGAAATGTGGAGAAGAAAAGACCATGCAAACTTAGTAAAAGCGAGGGCTGAGGTCCAAGGCAGGGGTGATCCCCCACAATGGGCCTCAGTCCCCGTCTCCCAGGCCCTTTTCTAGGAAGGGACGTTGTCTCTTGGATTCTTCTGGTTGTTTTTTTGGCATTTAACAGAAAAATGAACAAGCAGTCATATATGTGTAGTCACCAGCGTGCTTCTCCCTCATAGACTGAATCAGTATCCTCTCATCTGCTTGGGAATCCTCCTAGCAGCTTTCACTTAGGTATGAGTTAATTCAAATGCTGATACCCACTGAGCAGATTGAAGACTGGTTTTTTTATGCTAGCCTGTCCATCTTTCATCATCTGTAGCAAAACTAAAGATACCTCTGAGTTTATTCACTTTGAACTGGGTCGAGTCAACTCACTTCCTCATCTGTCCCGCCACGAAACGCACTGGGCTTAAAATCTAATCTGGAGATGATCACGTAATACAGTCATGGTTGCAAAATAACCCAGTCCCCAAAGTCATTATTTCCGCCGAGGTAGTTGAGCTCTGCTTCCAACAGTTTGGGCAGATCTGACTTTTTTTTGGAGTCAGCTCTGCACACTCGGGTACCCCCCGCCTGTTCTCGGGTCCCCTGTCCTTGTTCGTGTATTTTGTGATATAGCGAAGACACACATGTGAAGAGGTGACATTCTCGTAGAGTTACAAGGTTTCCAAGCAGATTATCCATCTTGAAGGTAAAATTTGAACTTACTTATGGCATGTTTTGTTATGAATATGATTAGAGAATGAATTGCAACACGGCCCATTATCTTGGGCTGACTGTGGGGAATAATTCCCGAATAATTCAATTATTAATGACCCAACCCTCCCAAGGTATCGATTTCTTTTACACTTTTTCCTATGTAGATATACATACACGTTTACGCAAAACATTACGGAGGCATTTACATGTATATACCTTTTGCACATATACATACATACATATGCACAAACTAGATTTATTGATGAAAGTGAGACAACAGTTTCGGAAGCGTCCTCGATTTCCATCAACACGGTATGTTTTTTCATTGCCATACATACATACATATATAATATATATATATATATATATATATATTATATATATATATATATATATATATATATATATATATATATATATATATATATATATATATATATATATATATATATATATATATATATATATATAGATACAATGTAACAACATACAACTGCATAAATTGCACCCGCATCTCTTTACTGAAAATGTATTTACTGGAAATTGAACCCCACACTCATAAACGATGAATATTAGATTACAGTTACAGTGCATACAGTCAGAGTCTGATTATAGATTCATTGCTTTACTTTCTTATTTATTATACTGCATAAAACGATATTCATAAAGCCAATAATGTAACAACATTCAACAGCATAAAATGCACCCGCATCTCTTTACTGAAAATGTATTAGATGTATAACAAGGAAATGCAACATTGAACCTGTAAACTTAATTATCTAAAACACATACAAATATCCATTGTGATTGTGTTGCAGGACTGAAGGTTTGAAGTTACTCTATGAGACCTTGGCTCTGCCTTTGGTGATGCCCAGCTGGAAGACCCAGCTGAAGTGACATCGGATGCAATTTCCGCCGCGATGATGTTCTGTCGCGCACATTATATATTTTGTTTGATTTACTTGAACATGGAAAAATACTGCAATACTGCTTGAAACATTTTTCATTTGCATTAAACCATTTGTAGTCATAAAAAACAAAAATACATCATACAGAAAAAAATTCTGCAGACTCTTTGTAATGTCCTGCGATCAGACTCTTTGATTTTAATGGTGAAATAGCAATATCATAAGACATGGTTTTATTTTGAATTCATAAAGTTTATTTAGAATCACAAAATAAGAATATACATATAGATAGGGAGATCTTGATCCATCATTTTTCATTCGCTAACGTACTTTTTGGGGGAGGATTTTGTAGACGTGATAATGATGAAAACTTTAGACGACTCCTTACCAGAATATTGGTGACTGATATCCGGGCCATGTGAACACGTGATGCACATCCGACATGCAGATGTTTACTTATGGTAACTTACCATAAATCAGATAACCTCCAGGACAAGATAAAATATTAACCCCTTCAATTACTTTCGGCGCAGCAATGAATCTGGCAAAGAAGTCAGAGCAAATTATCATCTAAATATCAGTCATTAAATCATGAGGTAATGGGTCTGCTAAGTGTACCCTTTCCTTTTCAGTCTTTAGTTTTGTTTTTTCCTAATCCGGGAGTCATGATAATACATCTTTGCTTTACCTGTTACAAGGAATTCACACACACACACACACACACACACACACACACACACACACACACACACATATATATATATATTATATATATATATATATATATATATAATATATCTATGATATACCTCATATTACATAGACTAAGGTAAAATCATATATAGTTGTTACCTATACGATTATATTTTCTTTTCTTTTAAGTACGGCATCTGACTAATGTTTTATATTAGTGTAATATAATGTGCCACGTAGATTCTCCTGAATACATAAGAGTTAAGCACAGCAACTGTGTTTTACTGATCCCACACCAACAGGTTATGGGCGCAGTATTATGCAGTTTGATGGTAAAGCAGATACATATTTGTGGGAAAAACCTTCTTCGGTTTTCGTATGTTAGGAAACTACTTTTCACCCTTGATAATCATTCTTGAGAACGTCCAGTTAGTTATAATCTGAATTGAGCCAAAATGTTATTTAAGAGGTTATCTTGACAGAACGTCACTTGACATAGAACGTGAAGAGAGAGGAGACTGTGTGAAATCTTTGGCAGTGACACGAAAACATTGGATGCGGGAAACAAACTACAGGTTTAATGTTTTCTGGAGGTCATTCGTCGACAAGAGACTGGAAGATGGCAGTGTTATAGATTATCTCTCATCCATAAAGGAGATGGCAGCAGCACATAGAATCAGGTGAGATTGCCAGT